GTTCACAAAAGCGCTCTGCAGATAAGGAAGACAGATTTCGAGTCAGCGTTTTATGCTGCATCTAATGGCATGCAGCTTGTATGGATTGGCCACTTCGACTTTTGACCATTCCCTTGTAAGATTATAAAGTAACCTAGCTGCATGTTTTGGCTGAGCATCAAGTTGAAAATGGCACTGTACTGCCAAACTTGCGCTTTGCGAGCATGATTTTTTAGCAAAATAATGACCTTTGACAACTCATAACTTCGCCCACATAGACGCTAAGTAGATATGGAAAACAGATTCGAAGTTATCTTTTATGCTGCATCTAAAGGTATGTAGCTTGTTCAAATTAGCCACTTCGTCTAACCATTCCTCATAGACTCCTTTACCATACAAATTTGTGCCAGTTCTTGATCCCTCGAAATCTTTGTTAACTACGCCGCTACGTTGGGGAAGATTTTCGGTCATGTAGTCATGTCACGTTTTCTCACCTTATGACACCAAATTTATAAATGGACTAGCTGGCTTACCCGGCTCCGCCCGGCCCTGTCAAAACACTACGTCAAAGAACACTATCCCTATTCCTGTAAAAAACTTCCCCTGTGCCCACGCCTACATGCCAAATCACTATCCCCGCTGTTTTAGTAATCAGCATGCTCGTTACTCCCCTGTGCCAACTCCCAGCCCCGTAGCTCAAACTTTGCAAAAAATCGATAAAATCGATATCGATCGATGACGAAAAGTAGCCTATGACACCCCAGGGGCCCGTAGTGTATGTGTGCCAAGTTTGATCCGGATCGGTTCAGAAATGGAATTTTCTATTCGGAACATACGTACTGACAGACAGACAGACAGAAAAACAGACATTCAGCTTTATAATATATAAGATAATTAACAAGAGCGGAACAACAAAAAGTGCCGATCAATGTGGAATTTGTGAAAAGCTTGAGACATCCACTACACAGAAATGAATAAAAAGGACTCGTGTGCAAAAATGAACTGTGCTGCATGCGCTGCAGCAGCTAGCATGCGGCTTCGAGCGGCGCGGTAACAACATTTAACTCAGGATTCATAGTGAGTTTCACTCGTTTTCATCACACTATTGTATCTCGCTTGCTCTTGTGATTGAAAAGTTCCAAACTTTGAGAGGGGTACAAAAATGAGCACTTTCGTTTTGTGCATCAGCTGAAAATGCTATTTTGATGTTGATGCCGCTTCCTTTCGCGAACATTCCTCCAAGTTTGGGGTTTTTTCATCAGGAGCGGAACAGTAATCAAGAAAAAAAGCAAGCATCAAAAATTGTGAAAAGAAAAGGGGCTGAAATGCAAAAACCTAATTTCATGAAGATAAAGAAATCGCGGTTTCTGCAATCGTGATAGTTGTATCAGCCCTCTCTGAAAAGAGATGAAGATGTTAAAGGTGAGCGACTCTTTGAAATGCAAAAAGAGCAGAAACGGAAACAGAACAAAACAGAAAAATCACTAGGGAGTAGGGGCGCGCAGGAAAATAGATGATGCACGCGAAACATGGCATAAAAAGCTTAGTTCTTGAATCTCGCTCCAAGCTCGTAATCTTCTGCATTACACGTAGAAGCAAGATGCGTGAATGAGACGAAAATGGGCAAAGTTTACAATTAAAACCGTTGAAGGAAGTCAGAAAATGTCATTTAGCGCCGCTAAAAAACGCTTAACCTTTTTAACTTCTCTCCTCATCCTTCCCGCAAACGGTCGGCTAGCTTTACGAGCTTTACCGTCCACCAAGGATAGGATCAAGAAGACAAGGTGGAAGAAACCGTGACGGTGCACTGCGTCTACTTGGTCGAGAAGTCATGAACCAAGATCGCAATGTCACGAGAATGCGCTGGTTGGCACGAACAAACGAATTCTTGTCATCGCGATCCAAGTCGAAGTCGCCCAACTCAAGCCATGAACGGAATCATCTCGGTATTAGTTGTATATAACCTTTGAGGATGAATAAATGTATCTATGTATGTAAAAAAAAACCGCTTACGGGCGGCTGCAGCGTATGCAGCACCGTTCAGGCACAGTTCAAGAATTGTGCTGTAACCGTTCCCCAACTTCGGGATCGTTATGAACTTTGCCTTATGCGCAGCCTCTATCCCCCCCCCCCCCCTTAGAGAAGTCCCACGAACTTCTTGCTTCGCCAGTTATAACTCCACACACACACACACACACACACACACACACACACACACACACACACACACACACACACACACACACACACACACACACACACACACACACACACACACACACACACACACACACACACACACACACACACACACACACACACACACACACACACACACACACACACACACACACACACACACACACACACACACACACACACACACACACACACACACACACACACACACACACACACACACACACACACACACACACACACACACACACACACACACACACACACACACACACACACACACACACACACACACACACACACACACACACACACACACACACACACACACACACACACACACACACACACACACACACACACACACACACACACACACACATACACACATACACACACACACACACACACACATACACACACACATCTAACTAATGCTCCAATCGTTTGTGTCTTTGTCGAAGGATGTCGCATCTGGCATCGTGGATTCATTCCTTGGCAATCCTCAACTAGCTTCCTTCTTTAGCAAGCATTCAAAAAATTGGTTGATTGCAATGATTCAAACAAGTTGCTAACAAATTGTTAATGAATTGCTGCCTAGACGTGTCTGAATCAACTGTCTGAAGTATTATATCTTCTGAGTGATTGATAGAACGACTGTTTTTAACCAGCTCTTTCCTGCACCTGTGAATGGCTCGCCTGCAGGCAACTGCCTTTTCGAATATGAAGTAGTGTACGTTAAGCGCATGTCCGCAGAAGGATTGAAGACAACGCACGCTTCTCCCTTCCTTTTCTCTACATTTGTAAGACAGATATGTCCAAGGACAAGGATGCAAGAACTTCGTGCAGGTAGTGTTCCAGCTCTTTCATAAAGTCAGAGCTTCTCCTTAGTGAAGAGTTCCGAGAGGTCTACTAACCACAGTTTATGCCTGTCTAAGGATAGGATCGAAACGGAGTGTTAATCTTCATTTTCTATAAAAAACATATTTAGATCCTTTTCCAAAGTATTAGCTTGTTAGATTTATGGTGTATATAAAAATGCTTTTCAGAACATGGTGCCCTAATTTATTTTTGGTTGGATATATCGATATTTCTGTGGACTTCGTATTTACAACACTTCTAGCGTGCGCAATATCGTAGTGACACAATTAGTGGTGAACCCATCAAGTTTGAGACATGCGCACATACTGATTATGCAGTTTGAAAAAATATTGGAGTATTTCACTCATATTACAGAAAAAATATGCAAAAATTCTACTCCCAAATATCAAAATGTAATGAACTTAGCCGACTTTAAGAAAAGCACGCTCCGTAGCATTTGTTAGCGATGCGTTAGAGCTAACATCGAAATGATTGGTACCTATTGTTTACGAAAAAGCATCATCAACAAACTGTGATGGTTTCTGAACAAGAAAGTATTATTTGGTTTTACTTGTTCTTAGTTGATTTTAGCAAGTCAGGCCAAACTCTGACAAGTGTATTCAGACCAGCGGGGTTGACGTGCTGTAAGCTTGAGCGCTCGTTGATGTAGTCAGCTAATAGAGTCTAAAAGCATCTAAATTCGGCTAAAACAACGTTGTGCCCTCCTTTGTTTTTATGTATTAAATTGTCCTGAAAGTTTTGCCCGCTTTTTTCATCGCCCACTAAGACTCACAGAACGCCTATCCATGAACGACCTAGGTACCACTTGATTCAAATTTTTATTCTCTTTTTTACAGCTATATTTGTTCTCTGATCACTCTGTCTTTGCAATGTAATCGCCATGGCTTTTGAGCAGCTCACCAGTAACGCCAAACCTTTCCTGAATATAAAATTTTTTTATTCTGATGTTTTCAAAGAGCGCTGGTAATTGTTATATAGAGCAAAGCTTTGCTTACTTTGTAGCCATTGATTGCATGGGACACGTTTGACAAGTTTGTTATAATTATTTATTCAATAAAAACCGCAGCCTTTTGGTTACGTTTATCATGTTAAAGTACCGAAAATCCAATAAAGCTGCTTTTTCAAAGCAAATCAAGCTTGGTTATGTTGCATAAATAATGTTTGATAAGAATCACGTTTCATTTCGCAGAAACCTCGAAGCTTTCGTGTATTTGCTGCAGTTTCATGACTTTGCCAAAAATCAAAACCCCCAACCTAAAAATAGTACCTTGTTGTCCAAGAATTGCTCTTTTAGATCCATATTCAACACTTTCGGAAACTTTGGGATAAAATTTTCAAAAATTAGCCTAACTTTGAGCAGGAAATTGGGTGGAGAATTTTGGCAATTATTTGAAAAAAGCATACAAGATTGTGGTTCGAAAATGCATACATAAGAAAGAGAAGGAAAAGCTGCATCGAATGCATGTTGAAACTCATTTAGGTCTTTATTGTGCGTGGTCTTATAGTGGTCTGAAAAAACGGACAAAACTTTCGGGCCAACCTAATGTTAGATATACGTGTTGTTTTGATGACACCACGAAAGGAATGTGCCAAAGACGATAAGGACGAACACTCGCTGCTTTTCGTTCGCATGCACATGTGACCAGCTATCTTGTTCTTGGCAAAATGCAAACGCGAAGGAGCAATAATATTGATTTCTCAAACTGCCCGCTTGTCGGATGAATAGAACGTGTATGCAAGCTTTATAAGCGCTATATTCCCAAACTTCCTTGAAATAGCCCCGGCTCACTTTGTTCTTGGAACTAGTAGCATTATTCGATGTAAACCTTCCTTCTTATCAGCTAATTCAACTTTTTTGATTTATTCATGGAGAAGATAGTCAAATTAAAACTGTCAATGTATCATAATATCGATAGACATTTTGTGCGCCATCATCCGCGTGTCATTTCTCCTGAAAGAACGAAGAATTCTAGATTCTGCCGCTGCTGCGATAAGCAGCTTATCAGTTTCTCGAGTTCTTCCTTCACGATCACGTCCCCCTTGAGGCCCAATGTCCGACTTTCTCAAGAAGAAAAGGAGGTCGAGGTCGTACTCTTCTATAAGTGCACCATTGGATTTTAGGTTAGTAATTTAACAGAACCATTTTATTTTGGTCAATTTTGCGCTCTGTGTTTCTGCGAATTTCACAGAATAAGGTTCAGGAAGAAACTCATGTAAGCATGTTAATGTCATTCCAAACATGTATTTGCTTAGGTATTTTTCCAAATTGTTTGGAACATATTTGTGGTCCTTCGTTCATAAGCCTATCGTTGTGAGCTAGGATTTTGTACATCCCAATGCCTGTCGACGTCACTATTGAAAAAACCGAACAAGCTCTTCTGCGCAATGTCGGTGACGAAATATGTTCATACTTTGGCACTTCTTTGTTAACAATTACTTTTTTGCCCCCAAGAAAGTGTTGGGAGAATGTAATGTCCGCTAACGAGACATGCAAAACCTCTGATAAATTTGCTATTGACATTTCCATGTAAAGCAGCAGCTCAAGTTGATGAAAAATCATTGACTCTCGTTAGTCGCATCAGCCTTTTGTAAAACTCCGCCAGACGTTTCGCAACCTAGCTTCACTAAAAATTCTCTATTTGGTGTTCTTCAGAGCATCCATGAATTTTCTGAAGACGTAAACAAGGATTAATCTTTGGGAAGTATTCATAACTGTTTCCATCCATCTGTGACTCTTTTCTTGTGTATGGTTAGAGTGGGATGTCTTAGAACTGAAAAACAGACTTCCGCAAAAACAAAATACTTGCGCGATGTCTTTTTTGCTTACAGGCTAGTAGAATGATACAATTTCGATTTTAAGTAACCTTTTCATTTTGGTAACATATTTTGCAAGTCTGCTATAAATAAGCAAGTGTCTTTGAGTGGTACTGAAATTCTTCTTAGCCATGACGCTTTGATCACACCATTTCGTTTCACTAAAGTACGCCAGATTCTTGCATTATTGTCTTATTACAAAACGATTTGCAGATATGCCAAGATTGATCTTCGTTGCACTTGATGCGCATAAAGACAGAATCATCAAAAAATTTGTTAATCTAACATTTTGATTGATTTGGTTTGCATTTATATTGTTTCCATGGAGCAAAAATTTGAAACGCTGTGATCATAAAGGTTGGTTAATGTTATACAATGACGAATGTATCGCGAGGTCAACCTACGCTTCCTTACAATATTATGTCTTTTGACTCATTTTTTGCACTCTTGCAAAAGTCGCGTCAGATTTCGTTCAGTCACTTTTTTTCTTCTTTTACTACACAAATTGTCATTTTGTGCACATCTTTTTTGTTCCGATATCAAGAAAATTGGAGGGTTGAAGTGGTAAGTTATTAACCTACAAACTAATAAGATGACAGGTGCTTTGTGATCAGCCATAATTGAATTGCTGGTAATTTCATTTGCAAGTGCAAAGGCTTTACTACAAGCACTCACTATATTGTTTCACCTGAATTTGTTTTGAGCACGCTTTATAACCATGTTTATGAGGAGGAGACAATCAGTATAAATGGAAGACAGAAAACTTTCAAAGCTTATTGCATGTTAATCATCTGCTTCATCACGACAATTCCGCCTTTGAAAAGAAAAGTTACGTAACGCATATCAGTAAAGTTTGAAGTCTGTGGATGCTTAAAGGCAGTGGATCGGCAAAACTTGACAACCCAGGATCTTAATGCAGTGGGTTCCTTATCGTCCAGGTATGAAAACTGTGCAATCCCGGTTGCACAGCATGCCCTCTCTGTCGAGAAAATCGCTCTCAAATTTACACGCGCAAGTTAATCTTACATGCACCCGGACGAGTTGGCAACTTCCTTCTTACCACTGGAGGCTGCCCGCCGCAATGCTATAATCATTGGGTCCCGCAGCGAATCAGCGTCATCAGTCTTGCTCCCACTTCCAGTTTTGAAGGAGGGGGGAGGGGGGGGGGGTGAAAAATGCTCGTTCTCGCCATTTTCGAGCTTTCTAAAGTGGATTTTCGTGATCAGCGTTTTGAATAACCTCAGGTAAGCGAAAGTCTGACTAGGTTGAGGTTTGCCGAGCTACTGCCTTTAAGTTACTATCAGTTAGTGACGATTTTGCAACAAACTAATCAAATGTATTTGACTCTTGCTATATTGCTGCAATCTTCTACGTCCATAGCGATTAGACAGCTACACCGATATGATTGCGCAATATTGCGACTAGAACGTTTGCTGCCCCACATTTTACGAGCAGCTCCTAGAATCTACTTATTTTCCAAACTTCAAATGTAAGACTGAACTTGTTTGTTTGTTCGCCAAATAATTACATCGAAGTTACATTCTCTGTACGCGAAATTTGTAGTTTGGCGAACGGTTAGAGCCAACCCAAATCTAATTTTAGTCAGTTATGATAAATTCGCCACTCCATTATGAGAAACACTGGAGATCTTTGCATTTGTATATTTCTCAGAACTCTGCAAGCTACATATTTTAGATCGAGGGTAGGCTGAATCAGGTACTTCTCAGTTAGAAATAGCGAAATAACACATAATATCTTAAGCTCATCAATTCTATGCTTATTGCATATTCAAAACAAATCTGCCAAAAATTATTTCTGGGTAGAAATTTGCACTGAAAGGTGTCACAAAGTTCGTTCGCAAAAAAGCGTAGTTGTGCACCTTTCTTTGATACTTTTGAGCGATTGATTTAAGGAAGCAGAACTAAATAATTGATAACGGTCTGCTAGACTTGAGTAATCAGATGATCTGCTTTAAATAACAAATTATTGTAGATTATATTTCGTCGGATGTAGTCTTGATAACAAATTTCTATTCGTAACAGTAACATGGCTGATGATGTACCATAAGAAAGCGGAACTCTCTCGTCATATGACGAATGCGCTCATGCAAGAATGTTCAAGACAAGATCTGCCAAAAAGTGAAAAAGTTTATTTGAGATTTTTTATCTTACCACTTATAGGTATCAATCTAAACTAATATGTTGCACTGCATTGTGTTTGTCTGCCATCTGTTCTTTCAGATGTATATCACATGTTGACGAAAATAGCACATTGCGCGACGCCCTGTATGTGATGAGCAATGGCAAGAATTTGGGAGATCATTGCGCAGTTCCTGTAACGTAAGTGTTTACATCGATTTCGGAAATAAAATATTTATGTCACGTCAACGGCGATATGTCTTCCTACGTCAGCAAAAAAGTATAATGCCGAACCGTAACTTTTTTCACTTCAAACCAGCTTCATTCCTTGTAATGTTACCCATTATCATTGCCAAATCAATAAAATGGCATTTCATCATCGTAAAAAAATTAATTGAAGTTTTCTTGTTAACAGTTTACTACAAGCTCGACCGCTTTCATGATCAAGAAATTGTGGGAATTTAGATAGTTTTATTATTCTTCAATTTCCAAAGCTAGGATGTGGTTTCGATGAATTCTAGGTAATATCATTATGTTACCTCGATTCTTTGGATACAACAATTATGACGTCAAAGATGCACATAAACGGTCTAACAGCGAGGAGGTGTTTCTGACAAAGGTTGCGCCACGGTAACCTCGGTTATAATTTTGCTAACACTCAATACCACCGCATTTTCCGAGAGAGATAATCCTTTAATATTGTCCATAGCTTCTCGCAAATAAGCACATATATTTTATTGCTCCCTAATCATCTTACTTGGCATCAAAAAAACAACTCATAAAATCAACTAAGATGGCATTGCCTTATTTTTGGAGAATTAAATATGTCAAAATTCTTTCGATTTCCTTTGCGAACGGCAATGTCTATTGATCGCACACATGTGATGCACGCACGAACAGGCATTGCTTTCAGAGAAAAAGATGGTCTCAAACTAAACGTCAAAGTGAGAAAAAGTCAATAAAACCAAGAACTTATAATAGCAAAAGGACTCAAGGCGGGAAAAACTTTTACGAGTTTCTGCAGACGAGCCTAAAAACATGAAAGTCGAAGAGTTAAAATTTTTGTGGAAAAAGTGTATTTCGCAGCAGTTTTATAGTACTGAACATGGTATATGCGGTTGAGTAGCCTTAGTGCTTCAATAAAGTAGTATACTTGTCCGCGATGACGCAAAGATTGCGCAAAAGTGCTGCAAAATGCATCTAACACTTCGCTTTTATGTAGTTGAGATTATCAAAACTACTTTGTATAGACTTTCTCATGCCATTATAGGACAAGCTATTTTACGCAAGGAAAAAGTTCCCAACCAAGAGAAGCTCTAGAAGCTGAAGGAGCGAGAGTCAGTTTCGATTTTGGAGGCCAGTGCGTGAGTTTCCTTTGATTACAACTCTTGGTCTGATACTTTCAATTCGTATACGTAATTCTACGAACGGCCAATTGTGTTTGTTCCGAAATGACACGCCTGGTTTCACCAGAAAGTACTGATTTTAAAGCCTTGTAAATTAGTGGAAACAAAGCCTGAAAACAAACTTTTCAGAATACTTTTTTATTTGTTTTCAAATTTTTCCGCAAACATCTTTCATCGTGGCGAAAATATGTTCGAAAATTATTATAACATAACCAGAATTTATCAGCCTTTAGTTGAGGGACATTAAAAAACACTGAAAAGTCTGTTGTTCATTGTTATCTTATTACTAAAGTATAGCGTTAATTTGCCATTAGATTGAGATTGATAAGCGCGAAGAAATGCAGGTTGAAGACAAAGTTAAGCGACAAGTTGTCAAAACTGTGGCATCTTTAGGCTTTGTGGATTAGTCATTTCAACCCTGACTGCATCGTAACGCAGGCAGCAGGCGCGAGTATAGGTGATGATGAATGTAATCATTCTCCTATTCTTAACAACTATAAAGGTAGATGGCCATTAGTGAGGCACGAAATGCACAAATGGGCTAGGCATAGAGTGAAGCCACTAGATGCAACTAGTTTGAAATTATTTCCTTCAACATCGAAACATTCTCATGTTAGTAATGACTCGGGGAACGATTACGAGGTACGACGGCGCAAATTTTTGGAGAAGCGATGTGATGCCGCAACGCGATAGCATGATTCAGCATCCTTTTGCAATGTTTCTTATGCCATAGGTGTCTCCACCGGCACTACCCTAGTCCACTGCCTCGACACTTTGGACAGGAGAGCTTTTGCGGGGTACGAAAACTGAACGCGACGTGCATGGCAAAGCAGTCGCCTTGCGCGGAGTTCCTCCTCGCGTGCAGCCATGTGTATTCTTCTTTCGATGTTACATCTAAAGCATTCTCATTCCAGTATGAAATCTTCCATGATTTTACATTAGTCTTCTACTCTCACTTAATTTGCATGTGCTAGACGGCAATTTCAGCTACCAGTTATTCTCCAAAGTTCATCATCCCAAAATGCAGGATGAAAAAGGATTAAATCTATTACAACTTTCTTCTCTCTTATCAGTTATCTTGGAAGACCTAAGTGCATCCATCGGATCCTTCGAATGAATTGGAGCATTTACTAAAATACGAGATTGCTTTTGAATTTTTTCACCACGCTATTTGAGATTTCGAGAATAGTTTCTCTGAAATTTCTCTGAAGATTGAGAAACTTGAATCAATTGATACTGAACTCGGTCACAGTATTCTACAAGTCACGATAATTTACAAAAATCGGAAATATTTTTTGAACCTTTTCAAAGTCCTCATTCCAATTTCAATTTGCATCTTGCTTGAAAATTCTGACTCCCCTTCTAAAAATCCTATTTTGACAGGCGCTTCCGAATTTTCCTCCGGTAATACAATAGGATGCAGTCATGAAATCATGTTTTGATTGTTGTTGTTGTTTTTTTTGAAATCGTGAAATTCTGTCTTGCAGATAGACGCAATCAAGTAGTAGATTTCCCGGTAGAAATACTGAGCTTGCAGATGCGGTAGCACTTGCGAATGGAAAATTGCCGAAAGCGAGAATATTCGGGTAATCTTTGTATTTCCTTTGCTCTTCTCCATTCTTAGGTATGCTTTGATCAACTAGAAGTAGAAAGTAAGATAGAAATGAACTCATACCGTTGTTTCAATTTAGGTATATTCCTGGAAGCTGCACATGAAGTGCCTGTAATGCAACCCTTTCACTCATCTCTCTTCTATCAGAAAACGTTTCTTTGCCATGCAAGCAGGTTTTTCTTGAAGTCGAAATGCCAATCAATAGTGGATCTTTGCTCACCTGAAAATAACATTGGCTCACATCAGTACTTCATTTGGTAATGAAAGGTCAATGGAATGAAGAAAGCTACTAGCGTAGTGAAAAACATTTTTTGATAGAAAAGAGATGAAAGAAAGGGTTTTGTCGCAAATACTAAATGCGATGCAGCTATCAGGATCATCTAAACCACCTAAACTTAAACGACGATATGACTGGTCACAACAGAATCACCTTTTAATTTACCTTTAACTCCTAGTCGATTGCGGCATACCTGAAAACGCAGAGTGAACAAAGAAAACAATAAAATTACCTGGAACTTCTCGCTCTGAGGCAACTGTTCACGAGCAGGTGCTGCCTCTTCTGCTGCGCACTATAGTTACCGGGGAATCTACACGAATGTATATACTAGGTTGTCTCATAAGGCTTTTCAATTTCGATTTTTCACACCGCAATAAGTCACACATTTATCAATTCTGATCAGAATGCAAGGTACCATTCGATATAGCAAAGCAAGCTCTATAAGAAAACATGTAAGCGTTCGCACTAGCTTCAGCACATCACGATTTAGAAGCCGAAATCTGAGGACTTTCCGATGCTCGAAAAATTGAAAATTTATGCTATCTTTGTTCAAAGAGAATAAAAGCTGCTCCTGTGTTTGTTCCTGCGCTGCAAACCGAGAAAACGACTATTTCAAGCTTTCAAAAAAGCGATGCTGCGTTGTTCTCACATATGTATATCGCAAACCTTTAGTACAATAACAAATTTTCAGCTTCCAATAAGTTCTAGAGTTCTAGACCCCGACAAATATTGATTTTATCATGAATTACCCTAACAAAAAAAAACTAAATTCGCTGTTTCTCAAGAACTAGCGCTTCCAGAAAGCTGAAAGTCTACCGATGTATTTCTGAAGGCCTATAGTCTACACTTACCTATGTGAGAGCAGCGCAGCATTGCATTTTTGAAGGCTTGAATTTAGTTTTCTCTGTTTTCAGCACAGGAACATACACGACAACGGCATATATAAGTTTGTTATGTAGAGTGCTAATGCATGAGCGAGTTTGGAATTCGGTAAGCTCTCTTTGGAGAAAGATATCATAAATTTTCAATTTTTCGGGCATCGGAAAGTCCTCAGATTTCGGCTTTTAAATCGTGATGTGCTAAATCGCGATGTGCTGAAGCTGGTGAACGCTTACGTGTTTTCTTATAGAGCTTGCTTTGCTCTATCGTATGGTACCCTGCATTCTAATCAGAATTGATAAGTGTGTGACTTATTACGGTGAAAAGTCGAAATTGAAAAACTTTATGAGACAACTAATAGCTGCTGTTGCCGCTTGAAAATGGCGCTTGCAGCCCGTAAGCTCGTCCGCGCAGGTGTAAGAGGAGCAGCAAAGAATCAAGAAAGAGATCGTAATAGGAGCTTTAGAGGTTGCATTTTTAGAGTTGATGATCGAACCGAACTTGATGATTTGTTCTACTCGACGGGTGCCTATTATGCATCAACATCTGGGATGAGCCGATTTCGCTTGTAAGGCGCCTTCAGAGATCAGGGTCAAAAGTAAAGACATCATGGATAAACCACTGGAGGTGTTTTCTTGTTTCGTAGAGATGTCTTTTCGATGTAGTAGGGTTACTAACCTTACAGGGAACTAGCCAACAAGCTGGTTTGTTTTAATCATTGTCAACTAAGGGTGGAAGTCTAAAAAACTTGTCACACCTGTAGCTTGACTAATTTGAGTTGAAGAATCTTTTTTAGATTGCATTAAAATGCAGGCATTGTAAACTAAACTAAAATCCTGCTCTATCTAGGAAAAGCAAATGCTAACCCTTGCTAGAACACCTCCCTTTTATGATGCAAAATCGTCATTTATGCAAATTGATACTAAAATGAATCGAAAGGAAAACGGTTGCAACTCGATTTGCATACACACGCGGCTGTGAACAATAGTGAAAAAACTATTTCATATTTCGTAATGATTGTTAATGAAATGGCGTTATATTAGATTAATTCATAATTAATGCGAGTTATTCGTATCTCTTCGTTCAAAACAGAAGCGAATATTGAGGACTTTTCATGATATTTGAGATGAAATTTCCTACAATTTCATGGGAATGCCTTGGCTTTCGTAGATCTTTGTTTTTTTTGAAGAGTAGACTAAATTTAGAAATTCTTTTTATTTGCTTTCTTTACCTTGATAAATAACCACCGAATTTATTCCAGAAAATGTGCAAAACGTTTGCGAAGCATTGTGCTACAAAAAGTTTCTTGAATAAAATTCTCGAAAATCTTTAAACCGAAAATTTTTTTTGCAAATTCGTGGCCAGTGAGTGCCTTCTCTGGCTTGTAGATATCGTAAGCAAAAAGCAATTGCGCTTTCGCACTATACAACAAGGATAAACCCAGTAAATCTACTGGTGTAAGAATGGTAGGGTCTTCACACGTTTAATGGAGAAAATTCAATGAGTTTCAAAAAAGGCATTTGATGAACCCGCCGAGATGCCCTAAAAAGTGAATACGTTCGAATTTTTTTAATATCTCTTCTTGAAGAAGTTCTGTGAAATTTGGGTTTGGCACCATTACATATCTGACTATTGGCTACATAACGAGCGGAGTGCGCATCATTGTTATCTTCTGTTGTAGAGCCATCCCTTATTGGAACTTGCTCACTCACTATAGGTTAGGTCGATATGGTCTCTGTGGTTGCGGCGTACCCGCCGCACTTTGATATATTTGTGTGTGTTGTTCTCTAGTTATTCCTAGTGAACCCTCGACATGTACGCCGATAGGCAGAGGGGGAACTCTTGTGTTTTTCTAATAAATCGTCAACGACTCAACGCGTTCTACTACAACTGGCGATCAGGATCAAGGACAAGAAGCCTTTACCGATCAAGGACCAGAAGAAGCTCGACCGACAAGGACTAGAAGAAGCTCGACCGACAAGGACCAGAAGAAGCTCGATCGACAAGGACCGGAAGCCTCCATCGTCCAAGGAGAAGACGCGTTGCAGCTCGAATCGAGGAAGAAGCTGTCACTGGTCGAGGACAGCCAGACAAGTAAGCTTTGTTGAGAAGCTTACCGATTTAGCAGAAAACTTCGTTGACACCAGAGAAGTCTACCATGCCGAAAGCCGGTGAAGAGGGGCATGGCGAATCTCTGGAGAAGGTCCTGTTGGTCATGGTCGATCAGATGCGGCTCCAGCAGGAGGAGATGAAGCTGCATATGCAGCTTCAACAGGAACAGATGCATGCCCGACTACAAGCTCAACAGGAGCACATGCAAGCACAATGGCAAGCTCAGCAGGAGCAGATGCAAATGCAATCGCAAGCTCTACGGGAGCAAATGCAGGTGCAATTACAAGCACAACAGGAGCAGATGAGGACGCTTATCACCACTCTGGTCAATAATCAGGGAGCCGTCCAAGACACCAGCAAGGATCAGTACGACCAGCTGAGTAAGGACGTGCAAAGGTTCGTCTCAGACGAAGAGACAGGTAACACCTTTGTGTATTGGTATGGCAGGTATGGACCAGTCATTCGAGACTCCCAGCTTTCGGATCAGAAGAAGCGCGACTTGGTCCTGATGAAGCTGGATGAAGAAGCATACCGGAAGTATGCAGATGAGGTCCTGCCTGCGCAGCCAAATGACTTGGACTTCGATACCACCGTCGCGAATCTCCAGAAGCTGTTCGCCTCCAAGAAGACGCTCATCAGAAGACGTTATGAGTGCCTAAGGATAACGTGCCCTCCGCTTACGCCAGCGTATGTGCCGTTCCGCGAGTACGCCAACACTATCAAGCGGATGGACGAGGACGCCCGGCTTAAAGAGGTCGACTACACGGCGATGAAGACGCTGCAGTTCGTAGCAGGCCTTCAAGATCCCTCGCTTAGGGAAGTTCGCCTTCGGATGATTCGTCGACTGGACGCTCACAGGGACGAAGCACCATTAACAATCGAGGACCTAGTCGCGGAATGTGAGAATTTCACTGCTATGAAAATGGATAACACGGACATGGAAGGCACGCGCGACATCCATGCAGTGTGGAAGAAAAAGGAGGTAACTTGTTTCACGTGCGGAGGACCACATTTTAGGAGAGACTGTCCACAAGCCGACAACACTGGTCGGAAGAAGCGGCGGAAGACAGGAGCGCAGTTTGGCCGCAGAAGACAGTGCAGACATGTGGTCGCTTTCGACACCGAGAGCGCGCGGACCTACCTCGACGTCGTAGTTAGAGGATGTAATCTCAAACTTCAGCTGGACACAGGTGCAGATATAACGCTGATATCACGCAGAGCTTGGAAGAGGATGGGATCCCCGGCTCTGGAACCCTGTGTGATGCCTGTGGAAACTGCAAGCGGGACGTCGATGAAGATATATGGTAAATTCTCAACCGATTTTTCCGTCAGAGATCGAGTTACAGGGAAGATGCTTCATGGAAATGGCACATGCTACTTAACTGAAGGCTCGAATCTACTAGGACTGGAATGGTGCATCCAGCTGCCGGCATACAAAAAGCTGAAGGGCGACTTCTATTGCAGAAAGGTGACTAGCGAAGAGAAAATCCGAGCCGAAGTGGTCGCCGATTTGAAGAAGAAGTATGGAGAAGTCTTCAACAGTGACCTAAGGAAGTGCACGAAGAGTAAGGGCATCAACAGAGACATCAAGGACACAGCGCGCCGCTGTAGGGCAGTTCAAGAAGCAGCCAAGATGCCAACGAAGACTGTACGGCATTCATGGAAAATGGAACAGAAACCATGGAATAGACTTCATATTGACTATGCAGGGCCGCTGAATGGTAAGATGTATCTCGTCGTAGTTGACGCTTACTCGCAATGGCCAGAAGTATTTGAGATGCCTTCATCTTCAACTACAGCTATCCTGAGAGAACTAAAATTTCTATTCGCTTGATTTGGAGATCCACAAGTGATCGTGTCGGATAATGGGACGCAGTTTACAGCAAAGGAGTTCCAAAATTTCTGTGAAGAGCGAGGAATCAAGCATATGCGTTCACCTCCATTCCATCCACAATCAAATGGACAAGCGGAGAGGTTTGTGAATATCTTCAAGAAAACCTTCCAGAAAATCAAGGAGGGAGGAACGGCAGAGGAGCTTGCGAAGTTTCTACAATCTTATCGACGTACGCCTTGTACGACGACTCCAGGACAACGTTCGCCTGCCGAGCTGCTCTTAGGACGTCAGATAAGGACACCACTGTCGCTGCTGAATGAAGACTCCAAAGAAGAAGGAATGGGCAATAAATCTATGGAGAAGCAGTTCAACCGCCGTCACGGAGCACGAAAGAAAACGTACCAGCTACAAGAAGCCGTGTGGGTACGTGATTTTCGCTCTGAATGTGAAAAATGGATTCCAGCACGAGTGAAGAAACGATATGGAGAAGCGCTATATGGCGTGCTTACGGAAGACGGTCAGTTATGGAGACGTCATGCGAACCAGATGCGCCGCGCAGCAAGTATGGATCGACATCATGACTCAACACAGTCCATCCCCGACGAAGGCCGACGTAACAATGGTATGGATGCTGCTGAACACCAAGCCACCTCGTCTACGCCACCGACATCAACCAGACCAAGTCGCCATCGTCGCCCACCAGAACGTCTACAAGTAGATCCTCATTGTAAGATGTACCGTTGTTCATCTTAGGAGGGAGGTGTTGTAGAGCCATCCCTTATTGGAACTTGCTCACTCACTATAGGTTAGGTCGATATGGTCTCTGTGGTTGCGGCGTACCCGCCGCACTTTGATATATTTGTGTGTGTTGTTCTCTAGTTATTCCTAGTGAACTCTCGACATGTACGCCGATAGGCAGAGGGGGAACTCTTGTGTTTTTCTAATAAATCGTCAACGACTCAACGCGTTCTACTACATCTTCTTTCAAGCTAAAGGTCTTAAAAATTTTTTGGCAATCTTCACGCTAGGAAATCTTTCTTTTTATGCTCACAGTTCTACAAATTCATAGATTAGTCAGGGTTTGCTCCTCATGGTGGTCTTCCATGCGAGAAGGAGCGTTTACAAAAAGAGTGTGTTCTGTTTCAAGTAGCACCTTGCATTGATAATAAATCATCCTAACACACCAGCTTACGCAAAAACTCATGGTTAAACTTGTATCAAAGTGCTATTAATATGACACAGATTTTATTTTGAATTTATTGGAAGACTATGCAAATGCCCTGTTTTTTGAAAGGTATTGTCCATATCCATATCTATAATTATCTATTCAGGTCCCATTAACGGCTAATTCACAGGATTATGTTGCATACGCAAATGGTAAATATGCTTTGTTTTCTAAGAAGTTCCATAAAGTTTGCTTTGCTTTAGTTCCATTCATGTGTGCTCCGAGTATTTCAAGCAACTATGGAAATTCTTCGCCTCAGTTGATACGACGCAAAGTTGGTATGTAAATTTTTTTCACTGGTAGAAAAATATAGTTACAAACAGAATCCTTTGCCGAGATGTCCCCGGTCATTCTTGGTTACATACTTTTTGCACACCCAAGATAATCTTATATATAAAGCTGAATGTCTGTTTGTCTGTATGTCTGTCTGTCTGTCTGTCTGTCTGTCTGTCTGTGTGTACGTATGTTCCGAATAGAAAATTTTATTTCTGAACCGATCCGGACCAAACTTGGCACACATACACTACGGGCCCCGGCGGGTGTCATAGGCTACTTTTCGTCATCGATCGATATCGATTTTATCGATTTTTATCGATTTTTTTGCTGAGTTCACCTACGGGGCTGGGAGTTGGCACAGGGGGGTAATCGAGCATGGGGATTCCGAATACAATATTGGTTTTCAGGATTATCGATTACTTTTATCGATTTTATCGATTTTTTTGCAAAGTTTGAGCTACGGGGCTGGGAGTTGGCACAGGGGGGTAATCGAGCATGGGGATTCCGAATACAATATTGGTTTTCAGGATTATCGATTACTTTTATCGATTTTATCGATTTTTTTGCAAAGTTTGAGCTACGGGGCTGGGAGTTCGCACAGGGGGGTAATCGAGCATGGGGATTCCGAATACAATATTGGTTTTCAGGACTATCGATTACTTTTATCGATTTTATCGATTTTTTTGCAAAGTTTGAGCTAGGGGGCTGGGAGTTGGCACAGGGGGGTAATCGAGCATGCTGATCATCCCCAAGGGGGGTGATCAGCATGCTCGAACACCCCTGTGCCAAATTCCAGCCCCCTAGCTCAAATTTTCAAAAAATCGATAAAATTGATAAAAGTAATGGACGATCTTGAAAAGTAATATTGTATTCGTAATCTGCATGCTCGATTACCCTCTGTGCAAACTCCAAGCCCCGCAGGTCAAACTTTGCAAAAAAATCGATAAAATCGATAAAAGTAATGGACGATCCTGAAAACTAATATTGTATTCGGAATCCCCATGCTCACTTCCCCCCTGTGCCAACTCCTAGCCCTGTAGGTGAACTCTGCCAAAAAATCGATAGAATCAATAAAAGCAATCGATAATTCTGAAAACTAATATTGTATTCGGAATCCCCATGCTCACTTCCCCCCTGTGCCAACTCCTAGCCCTGTAGGTGAACTCTGCAAAAAAATCGATAAAAATCGGTAAAATCGACATCGATCGATAACGAAAAGTGGACTGTGACACCCGCCGGGGTCCGAAGTGTATGTGTGCCAAGTTTGGTCCGGATACGGCGGAGCCGGGTAAGCCAGCTAGTATGGAGATAAAATACTGTGAATGTTCTTAATAAAGAAAACACTTAACCCATTTTGCCTTTAAAAACAAACGTAGATTTCTAATCAGCTTGCAGATCAATACATTGTTTTTAGCTGCGAAGCATTATCCTGAAGCCAGAAACATATGATGCATGATTGACATACTATTGAATATAGTAATTTAGACGGATCTGAGATAGAATTACAACTAACTAGAACTACACGATGCGCGTACATTATATTAGGGTGATCACTAGAAAATGGGGCAGCTTGATTTTTGTCAAATTTTGAGATTTTTTGTTTCGATCAACAACAAGCAGGCTGCAACGTAAACGTCGCTTATATAAGCGACCTTCGCTAATATTCTGGCAAAACGTCAACGCCCCTCTCCCACAACCCTACGCGTGGCGCCCTGAAGAACTCGAACAGGGTTTTTTGAACCTCGCTCATTCTTGCGCTGCCATACCGCAAAGTTAAAGAGCAATTGATATATCATTCGAAAGAGCTGTTCATGCTCTTTCAAACAATATATTAACCATACAAGATTTCTTTTTATTTTTGGGTAAAAAAAGTGAAACACCTGAAAAATCGCGATTTTCGGCGCAACAAAAACCAATAAATGAAGTTTTGATCTGTATTTTCCGAAGATTGATAGAATTTGAGGTAAGCTGCATAGGGGTCTATAGAGCATAAAAAGCTCTTTCACATGGTACCTATAGAACATGCGTTCACCTGCAAAAAATTGAATAACGCGTATCTTTATTCTCGAAGCTACTAATGGCTGTATCTCCTGACTTTGAAAGTTGAGGCCATCAAGCTGTCGTGGGTTTAGTGACTGTCCCACCACCCACTCCAGCAGTGGCACTTTGGGTGGTCTCACATGTTTCACTGCGCAGATACTGCCCAAAGTTTATAATATGTCAAAGTGACTCACTTTGCATTTCAGCCACTATAAAAATTATTAGTTATGTAAATGACCTTATTTAGGTTTTCTGAAAGAGAATAATCTTTTCTAACATCTATCAAAAAAGGGAAGTTTAATCATTTATCTTTTTTGAGATATCTACATTTATTCTCTAGGTGTCTCATTTTTTAGCGATCACCCTAAAACATTCGATCGATGTTGATGTTGATAGGATGCAACTGCACAACCACCTAAATGTTGATACCTCAAATCAATAAGCTGATAAGCATGCAAACTTCGCACTCAAAAGTCAGTAACTTAATGTTTCATACGGAATTCACGCACTGTTCCTGATTAGTGTACAACAACGGTATGATCTTCTACCATAAAGTCATTTTAGCAAATCAGCTGCCGTTTAAGAAATTTACCATAAACCGAGAACTTTCGTGATGGGATTCTTTGAACTCATTTTCATTTTGAGGTTTACGAGCCGAATCTCCGCATACTCTCATAGATAATAAGCCAAATTAATCTGCGTGGACCTTTCGCTACAGAGCGCTTTAGCAAGCAAGATTGTGCGAGAGGATGACCTGTTATCTATTTTGAGGAAGGGAGTAGGGATCATAAAGTAGTTTAATTAACTTTGTGTATGCTTGTAAAGCGGTGATTGTGAATAAAAATAGTTTTTTAACACTTTTCGGACCGCGAAATCGCGCGCGTCGAAAAAGAGGGCACTTTCAGCCTTCAGCCAACAAAGGGGCCTTAATTTGTAGACTGCGTGCTATCTATAATTAGCATGTCAGATAAGATTCATACCCAAAGTTGTGAGCGAATTCGAAGTGTTTAAATTTTGTCGCCTATGCTTTTTTGGAAGACAGATTGTACCCAAAAGTATCTATGTCATACATCATACACATCACTATCGAAACTATGGTTTTTCTTCTTGAATTCGAAGCAAGGGAAAGTTGCGACGTCGCACGCGGCGTTCGCGTTGCCGCACTTCGTTGCAACTGTTGTTCGATTTGTGCTCATATCTCCCAAACAAAAATCGGTGGCACAACTCTACAGAGTCATTTGAAAAGTAAGAGCTTAGCCCTTTGACTTGATAACCTTGGACAAATAGAAAACTTTCTGTGAACGTTAGATAGATCTCTCAAAAGCGCGTGCTGCACCATGTGCAGCATTGGTACGAAACGTGTTAACAATCAAAGGAACTTCACTGTCAAGTTACTGTCACTCTTAAGTAATGATGAAAAAAGCTCATTTTCTATGAAAAGCTAAAGTCCGTTTGTCTGTGTTCGTGTGTCTGTCAGTCTGTATGTATGTTTGCACGTATGTTTCAAAAAGAAGTTTTATGTCCAAACTGATCCGGATTAAACTTTGCCCACTTACACTCTGGGGAAGGGATCACAGGCGACTTTTCAAAGTTTGAGTACGAGGCTGGGAGTTAGCTTAGGAAGGGGGGGGGGAAGGGGAGGTAAATGAGCATGCTGATCAGAAAAACATAGCGGAGACAGGGTTCCAAATATGGAAGTGGAACAGGGACAATATAGTGTCGTATGGAAACAGAGTACTATAATAATTTATTTCATAGTGTTTGGACAGTGCCGGGTATGCCAACTAGTATACGAATACTGCGGTTTCCAAATTGATCAGTCGGGGTTATACATGCTCTTGTTTTCCCAAACTCTCGGAGTTCGCTGTTTTAAATTTGAGAAAAGTTATCTGTATTTTGCTATAGCTAATCTACGTCAAAGCCAGACCTACAACAGGCAGTTGTTCAGAGCTCAGACAAAAGAGATATTAGCTTTCAAATGTTCGATGCATTTTTTTACGTTTGAAGTTGATTTCTATCTGCCAATCACTAGACGTTCTTTCCGAGCAAAAATTTCATTTTCGAACTAATTTGGATTAGATTTTCACTGATAAAGATTGCGGCAGGGATGGTGCCACACGCTACTTTTTTGTCATAGATCGATGTCTCAACTTACTGGTTTTTCAACAACGAGCTGAGCTGCGACTGATATGGGGAAGAGGGGAGTGAATATGCCAAGTATGAAATCATGTTAAGATACACTTGAACTGCAGTGATGGCATAAATAAAGCGATGCCAAGAATGTTATATAGAAATGAGGGTTGTTGAGCTAATAGCGGAGCGATGCCTATACCATTATAATAATGGTATTTGCATCGCTGACACCTGAGCGACTCCACCAAATAGCTATTGCCACGCTATTTATCGAGCGTTACCGAATTCCATTGGCCTTCAGAAATCAGCGTTGCATCGTCATATGGTGATGCAAGGTGGCTCCTGAATCAAAGGCAGAGTTCGAGTTAGCCAGCGAGGAGCATTTCCTGACTAATAGAAGTGCCCGTTTAAACACGGTGAGCGCGGTAAGCGATCATAATTAGATTATATCCACTGAAGGCCAGCCAATAAGCACACAGAGTAACCTAAAAGCAAAGATTCAAGAACATCAGTAAAATCTGAACGTCTGCCGTGCACCGTAATTGAATGGGCACTTTTATCAGAAATCGAAAAAATCGAACTGAGTAGGGCGAGTTGCTCTTAGATTCAAAATTCATCTCCCAATACTATGCTATGGCGATGCCACGCGGAATGCATTAGCTTGGATGGATTTGGTAATTTTTTGGCGATTTATTGCGATACGCATATATGCTGCTCAGTGAGCAAAAGTCTTTGCGCAAAATATACGATATGCAATGGCGAGATGGGTTGCGGTAGAGAACAAATCCTCTTTCAAAGCTAGTGTCTCTGCATTCTTATACAATGCGTTTAACGGGGCCAGCGCCGCGTAGTGCAGCCACACACCTGCGCGCGAACGCTACTGTATGAGCAGCGTGCAGGGACCATGCCGCGCAAAGTGGCGTAGTAGTCCTTGTTTTAGCCACTCTTCCTGCTTCTTTTTCAACTTAATCGCTGTCCTGCCTCCAAATTTCTGACCTTTTCCTGTCTAAACTCTACTTTTTTACTTCTTGAGATCTCTCAAAGTATCACCGCACGAACGGAAGACAAAATGGAAGTTTGAGGTCCAAAAGAAGGTGTAATTTAAATTATGTCATTTGAATGTTCTGAGAACGGCTGGCGTTCATCTTCCCTGGAGCTAAAGGTGAATATTTGAGGTGTAACCGTACATCGTACAGGTTGAGAGAACAGTTTGAGTGAACAGCGGCGCGTTGGCGCTGTTCACTCAAACCTAAAATATACGATTATGTCCGCTGAAACACGAGTCTATATAATGAATCATGACATCAGGAAACAGCCATCCGAAGAAGGCCTGGATGAAATGAAAGATGTCATGAGGAGAACGTTCAAAGATGTTACGTCCTCCCTTTGCTGCTAAAAAACATATCTGCTATTAACACAGATCTCATATAAGCATACAAGCAAGAACAAGGGCAATCCGCTGCTAAAAAAGCTGAAAATTACGAGGTACCATAATAAAACCAAGGCCCGCGATGTTGTGCGCAGCATTCCCTACATGCTGCTCGTACGGTAACGCTCGCGCATAGAGTGTGACTGCACTACGCGGCGCTAGCCTCGTCAAACGCATATTGCATAATACTGGAGACTGAAAATGCTATCTTTGATAAGTACATGATAAGTGTGATAATTTATGGTAATCTGAGATATGATCTGCCAGATCAAGAAAAACATGATGTCCAACAATGACAAACATCACTGGCTGGTCCAACTTGTCCCTGTCTATGTTTTGAATCCAAAGTTTTTGTCTTAACACCTCGAGGCACTATCTTGAACACTTTTTCAACTCAGTTAGCACACAAGGACTTTATGCGATGCAAGATGGTGCAAGCTATACGCCATGGATAAGTCATGCTAGAAGCAACAGTTCAATAATCGCTGCCCAACCACGGATGAGTCCTGCAGGAACGATTTCTCATTCGGATGGTGGTTCTCCATGGTTGAATCGCGCAGGCACGAACAATTCTGTACTAGCCAGCTGCTTGTCACATGCGAGTCCTGCAGGTACAATTGAACAATCGGATACCTGCTACCGATGGATGAATCCTGCCGGAACAAACAATCTAGCAAGCGCTGGCGGTTCGCAAATAAGTCCTGTGGAAACATTCGGGCAAGCAAATGCCGGCTACCCGCGGATGAACCACGCTGAATCAAACAATTCATTAGGTTTGTGAATTTGTTTTGTCGTATTAGCGCGAAATCTAAACGTCGAGTTCCAAATTCTTTGTCTAATATATTAGAAAACTGTTTTAGGCAGACAACATCGGCCACTGCAGCGCACGCGGTCAAAATCGTTTTCTCAGATAGGAGAAGCGGTTGGGTAAGCGTCGTTTAATTGTTAGAATCTGTAAGTATGTGAGATTAAAATCTCTCATAAACTGCCTGTTAACATATGGGTTGTTTCATAAGCTTGTGAAATTATTATTGACGCGTTAGGTGACTCAGAAAACTTGCCAATTGTTGAGAAAGCGTAAAATGTTAGTCAGAGCTTGTATTCGCTCAATCGACGGCATACCTCCGGAGCAGAAATGGCAGAGTCGCGGGGTTTCCCCAGCGGAGGATTGCCACTTCGCGCTCCGGAGCCCTGCCATTTCACAATTTTTGTGCTCCGGGGCTCTTCCAAAAGTGGCGCACCTCCGGAGCAGAGATTTGCGCGTCGCGTCGCGTCGCGCCAAGACGCTGATATAAACATAGAATTTAAAGGCTGCTGAAAACAAGGTGTAAGGCTAAAGCTGACAAGTGAGTTGAGTGAGTAAGTTCTTTGAGTTCTGAGTTCTTTGAGTTCTTGTGAGTTCTTTTCACATCTAAAGCAAGTAAAGCAGGGCTCAGCACGAGGTGATCTTGGCAAATTCTTGGAAAAAAAAAGTCCCCGCTGACTTCGAACAAGAACATGCTGTCTTTCATGGCATGCTTAATAAAGAGCTAAACATGAATAACAAAATAGAACAGAATAGAGTACCATAGTACATCAAACAGAAGATGTAAAATCTAATGATGCTCCTATTCTGCGATTTGGCGGTAATTTGGAGTGCTGACCGTCGCGTACTTGGAGCAGGCTTGCCGCCGCCATTCAAAATTTTTAAATGGGAAGAGAAACCCGGGAATGAATGCGCCCGAGGTCAACTACTTAGACCATAAACAGGTATTCAGCCGGTACCGCAACCTGACATTTCATGTCCAAACTGTTTAATGGGCCAAACGGAATGCTAACAGATGGTCAACATCAGAGTGCAGTACGAACGTCTAAGATGACCACTCTGAAAGAACAGAGTTTACCCAGAGGTGCGATAGTCGGAGCCAATTCTCCGCCTACCTTCACTTTTGAGCTGGTACAGGGTGACTACCTTCACTTTTGCGTTTGAAAATTTTTTTTGCTTAAGCTCATAAGAAGGAAAATAAGCGAAAGGAATATAAAAGAAAGTATTAAGAGCATATATCTACGTAGTAGGTCAATCCGGGCATTAACCGCCAAGAACCAGTTCGAATGATAAAATAATGAAGAATCGTGAAAAATCATTCCACTGTTACAAGTCTGCTGGCTGAAGACCTCCGCAGTTGCGACTTCATAGGTTTTGAAGGGTAAGTGTTGTTCTACCAGATTGTGAAAAAATCAGTTTGATTTGAGGAGTGGCCGCCGAGAACGAGAATTTTGAAAACCCTTAAAAATCTTCTCAATTTTAGGTTGCTTAATGACAACTGACATTTAAACTTTTATAAATTCAGTCCGGTTAATCTTTGAAGGTGTGTGATGTTGCTACTTCATAAATTTTGTAGGGTGAGGTTTGCCCTATCAGAATGTGTCTTAGCTGTACCGATCCATTGGACCATCGCCGAGATACAGGTTCTTAAAAAAGCAGGTAAAAAACCGTTTTTCAGCTCATAACTTCTTCAGAACTGCATTAATCATGTTGCGACTTCATAGATTAGATTCTCCTCTTCAAGAGCTTCCAGATAATATATAATATGTGGGGGATTCAATGTTTCTTTCGGCTCTAACCCGGGGTGGAGTACTCCTCTTCGCTAATTCTCCACCCCGCCCATTTCAAGGTATTGGCTGGAGGCCGCCAGTGGAGAATTAGTGAAGAGAAGTACTACCCCTGGGCACATGCCGTGGGAGGAGTGAATCCTCCACATATTATATATCATTTGAAAGCTCTTGATGAGGAGAATCCAACCTATGAAGTCGCAACATGAATTATGCAATTCTGAAGAAGTTATGAGCTGAAAGACGGTTTTTTACCTGCTTTTTTAAGAGCCTGGATCTCAGCGATGTTTCAATGGATCGGTACAGCTAAGACATATTCTGATAGGGCGAACCTCACCCTACAAAACCTATAAAGTCGCAACATCACACACCTTCAAAGTCCGGATTTATAAGAATTTAAATGTCAGTTGTCATTAAGCAACCTAAAATTGAGAAGATTTTTAAGAGTTTTCAAAACTCTCGTTCTCGGCGGCCACTCCTCAAAAACTGATTTTTTCACTGTCTGGTAGAACAATACCTACCCTTCAAAATCTATGAAGTCGCAACTGTAAAGGTCTTCAGCCAGCGGATTTGTAACAGTGGAATGATTTTTTGCGATTTTTCATTATTTTATCATTCGAAATTCTGGGTCTCGGCGGTTACGGTTACTGCCTGGATCGACCAACTTTCTTCATTCTATAAATTTTCGCTGAGTTTCACTTCAAAACACACTATTTTCTAAGCACGTTTATTTTAGATATTTATGCCGTTGTATGCATAAAAATATGCTTTGAATGTCTCTTTTGCATTTGTTTTGCTTATTTTCCGCGCACTGGCGGCAACGACTTGGAAGGATAGAATCAGTCGACGTTAACGCTCCCCCCCCCTTCCGGTCGACGTTTTTGGGAGGTGAGTGTCCGGCACTACCACCTTTACTTTTGGCCGGCCAGTGGAAGCTGGGACCACCTTCACTTTTGGTGGGCCCGGCTCCCCCATCGCACCTCTGAGTATACCCCCACCGGCTGAGACCTGATTACTACACAGTCTCAATGGTAATAGCGTATGCTCAGTAAGAACTACGCTCACGAACTCATAAAACCACCGCAGTACTCACGACACTCAAATCATTTAGTCAACGGAACAGAGTCGGCTAGGAACGGTTCAGTAACCCACTGAAACCAACGAAGAACGTTAACGAAGAAATCAGGCAATGCCAAACTGATGATCGGGAAATATAGCAGGCAATGCCAAACGGGGGCATGATGAGATGGAGGCAAAAGACTGCCTAGACCATGCGTGAACAAATAGCACCACTCTCTCAGGATAAAACATGTGACGGAGGCAGGAGCAATGCTCTCCTGCATCAGACGGAATCCAATAAATTGGCACCCCAAAAAGGGGACCAGTCTGACCGTGGCTGAACACTACCACATGGCGCACAGTCACCCTGACTGATGCTGCACGAAATGATGTAGACGGACCGAGAGCAAACACCGGAGTAGAGCGGTGATTGCATGACCCTCCTTGTGGTAACAGCGAGTGGACTGCAAGCACAGCGGCCATGAAGGCCACCTCCCAGAGCCCGCTTCGCAGAGCCAGCTAAAAAGCCCACGCTGGCAGCCAGCAAGCTTGACCCCGAAGTACCCATGCTTGAGGAGCCAACACCAGGGCATGAGACGGTTAAACCTGATTTCATACACCACTGAACAGTTAAGACTCAGCAAATATTTATTGTGAGTGAATAATCAATAAGTCCGGTAAACAAGCCAACATTTGAAATCTAGGCATCAGAACAACGATCTAAGCAGGTCACCCCAAGAATTCATGACAACAACAGTTTGAACAAACCACAATCAAATATGCCTGATAGCAAGCAGCACTCACTGCCAAACGAAACCGCGTAACGCTGTACGGACTCGTGTCGATCAGAAATGGTGTACAGTCTCAGACATTGCAACAAACAAACGTGCCGGGCCAGTCAGGCCACGAATCAATGGACATCACGTCAAACAGCATGGATGAAAAGAGCCCTAAACAAAGAACACTCAAGCATCTCAGACAGTCGAAGGGATACCTCCGGCGGGCAAATGCGAGTCTGCCACTTCGCGCTCCGGAGCCCTGCCATTTCACGCATTTTTGTGCTCCGGGGCTCTCCCAAAAGTGGCGCACCTCCAGAGCAGAGATTTGCGCGTCGCGGAGAGGGGTCCCATTCGTCCTGTATGTGACGTCACGGTGAATGAATGGGACCCCTCTCCGCGACGCGTAAATCTCTGCTCCGGAGGTGCGCCACTTTTGGGAGAGCCCCGGAGCACAAAAATGCGTGAAATGGCAGGGTTCCGGAGCGCGAAGTGGCAGACTCGCGCCATATGCCCGCCGGAGGTATCCCTTCGACTGTCTGAGCGTACATCTGCGACGCTGAGACAAAGCCATTCATTCCCGATGGCATATTTTTGCTGGGACATACCTTTGCGAAAGCGCGCATAACTCAAGGCCCAGCAGCAGTCGACAGTTGATTTTGTTTAGACAGTTCTTAGTATAGTGGCGCGCGTCCATTCCGTTAATATGCCAGCCTTGATTGTTACCAATGTTCCGCCTTTTTAGGAAAATCTAGGATATTCCTCAATGCCGAGATTTGCAGGTGACAAAATCGCCAATTTCTGCCTCTTAATTTTTTATGAAAAATAAAAAAGAACAAAAGGCAGTTGGCTTTGCCTGGATGAATAATGTAACATGAAGGTGTCAGGTGGTGTTGACTAACCGAACCTGAGTGGAAGAGAAAACACGCTTCGAGGCCACGTAAACAAAGAAGACAAACTACAACTTTTATCGCAAAAAAAAGCCTCCGATTTGACCCTCCAGTAGGGTTATTCTCGGTTAATGAAGGGAAGGCCTACACTCTCATGACCAGCACTTCGACTTCCGCAAGCCTCTTTTGATCCCAATCCTTCCAACTCTTTTTTTGCTATGTTACTAGTGAACCAGGTGCTAGGAAGGTGCTATTTGCAAGAGTATTCGCTTCGGGACCGCCACGCGGTTTCCCGCTATTTGCAGATTTTTGAATTGAGTTAACAATTCTTTATATATTAGATTAGATGAAGTCAAATAAGGCTTCCTCTTTTCTTGCCACTGAAGATTGGCATGACTGAAAAATGACGACGGAAGTAAAATTTTTACGAACTTGTAACGGCTGATTTTCTCTGTGTAAATCAAACTTTGCACTCACATGTTACGCACAGGTAGATGTCGTAGACCATTTCTCTTCAATACTTATTGATTTTTGGAATTTAGAAGTATTGTTTTTTACCACTTTCAAAAGTTAGTATAAATGATAGCTGTCGAGCTTACTTCCGTTTTGC